TGTCTGTATGGATACCAAATTACTTTTCAGAAGTCAAACAGATTACTCACTAAAAGCTAAAACCTCTCTCTAATACCATCTCTAGTAAATATTCGTTCCAAGCTTTTCCTCTGCTCACTCTGTTTATTCAGTATCAGCTCTTCTTATCACAGCAACGTATTTGGGAACTCATGTTGGGTTTCTTGTCAGCTTATAAACCCCAGGTCTCCCTTACTTACTGTGTAACAGAGTATTAGAAGTGTTTGAAACATTTCCATTGTGTTTAAATGTGCTGTGCTTGTCAAACTACCAGTATTGTTTCATATACTTGCCCTTTTCAATGTTTCCTGTTACACTGTTTTTTGTGTAATCTGTAAAAGCTGTTGGTAATGATCAGTCTTTAAACTTGTGATAAAAATCATGCCAAGTTTGACCAAGCCCTGCAAAACCTACCAAAATTACCTCCATGCAGTAAGGTAAGGCCAGATGCTCTTTGAGGTTCTGTGATGAATTACTATTAATCCATTTGATACCTCTGTACTGATAATAAAAAGGTGTCAATTGTTTGATCTAGTAAAAAAAGGGAAAAAGACATAAACTTCACCCTTGATTTCATAAAAGAATGAAATCATAACAACTGCAAGTAATAGGGAACAGGTAAATCCAGTTAGGTTGACTCTTCTGGATCTTCGTTTTTCATTTCAGAACAATATGCTTTCCAAATACAATTTAATAAAATTAGAACAATGATTTAAAACAAATTAACAAGTAATCTTTTGATGTAATCAAAATCTGATTTTGATTTAAAGCAAAATATTGAATCTATTTCTTTTTTATGCATAACTTTGATATATATTCATTTTTGCTTGGAATAAATTATGGAGAAGATTCAAAAACAATCTGGAAAGGAGACAATTTTATATGACATTTCTTAATAGACTCTTCCTGCTACATACAACGCCACTCGGTTCAATGAATATAAGAACAAAAATGTGTTACTGGTTATATTTTTTCTTCAACATTAAACTAAGCAGAGGAATGGAAGCTTTCTTTTTTCCCTTAGGAATCAATCTACATATCTGTGACACAGCCTCTTGTTAAAATCATTTTTGAACGTAGAAAATTATTCAGTTCACTGAAAACTTGAAAGATCATTTTAAAAGAAATACGGGATTGGTTATTTACAGTCATGATGACAGCAGCTGCTCTCCGTAAATGACTTCAGGAACAATAAGGTTATGGCACATATATAGAATAAATGAATCTGGAGTCAGTAAAAGACAGCATCTCCCAGAGTTTTTACCAGATTATGTTTATAGTTTTGATAAGGGCATATCCATAGTTAAAGCCGTAACTGTAGTCAGGAGAGATTTCTTCCACTCCAGCTGTTACAAGCATAATTTTCTTTAAAACCAGCACTAAATTTTAGAGAAATAAATTCATGGTGGAGCAAGAAGAGAGGAAAATCCTTTTTGCTTCTGAGGACAAGTAATTTTATTTAGCAACTTCAGCCAGGTATTTCACCTGCAGAAATATCTTCTAAGACCTCAGAGGTAAGCTGATCTCAAAAGAAAAGGTTTGGGGTTGGGATAGGTTCTGATCATGCCAAGACACACATAGCTGTATAATGTTACTCGGGTGAGTCAAATAAGTTCACCTGGTTTCTACAAACCCATTTCATGCTTCCTCTCCTCCTCAATAGGAGGACTGTGTTTCCCAGTGTCTGCATTTCCCACCAGTGCAAGAGGCAATGTGATGCCTTCTTTCTCTCTTACCAGCTCCCCAGGGAAAGCAGCAGCCAGAGGAGAGCATTCCATCCCATGTGCCATGGCTCAGTGTGAGACAGGCACTGTCAGCCCACCCGGCTGGCTACTGGCCTGACAGCAGAGCCCCTGGGGCTGGTGCACGTTCGCAGCTGATGAGAACATGGGGAGGGTTCCTGCAGACACCCACACCACGAGAGCTGACTGCAAAGAGTGCAGGTTGCACTGCACATTCCACATAGAGGTCTTTCTGCACATTAAAAATAACCAGTCTCAATGTGCCTGAGGAGTCTGGGGTGCTTACAATAGCCCTGGTCTTGCTCTGTTAGGATTTTTAATGATTGGGCTTTGGCTTTCAAATCTAACATTGTGTTTAAAGAAAGTAAGTACCAGTATCTCCATTTTACATATGATGAAACCAAGTCAAAGGGCCATGAAGGAACCTTGTCAGGACAGGAAAAAGTGTTGAAGCCTGATATTAAAACCAAGAGAAGAATCCAGGTCTCCTGAGACATGGTTTATCAGGCCATACCGCCACCACCATATTAAAGTACAACTCCCACTCAGCCTTCAGCATGAATCTCGATTTACAAGAACTGTATCAAATTCAGCTATTTTTCTTTCAGGAGCTTGCACATGTGATGGAGGTGCCATTCTCCTGTTATTTTTCCCTCTGAGTGAACTCTGAGAGGGTTTTCCCTCTAAGCAGAAACTCACCCCACCACACCTGAAGGAGATTTTGGACACACAGCACCCTATGCACAGGCTGCTGAGATGCTAACTCGCTGGTCTCCATGATCATCTTTATCAGCTCTTCTGCAGAAGTAGCAAAACCACCCCTGGGAGGGGATTAAAGCAAGGAATTGGCCAAAGTCCACCTATGCCACAGCTTATGGGTCACTTTGAGCCTGTTTCTGAGGCATCTCAAGACTATTTGGAGTCTCCTGAATCTACCACAGCATTGACACTTCAACAGTTTCACTGGAAGTCTCAGAACGTAAGGGGCCTTGTATGTGTAACCTGAAAGGTGACTCAATGTCAGCCCTGAAGTGGTCAGGCAGTTGAACTAGATGGTCACTGTAGGTCCCTTACAACTGGACTATACTAACAGTACTAGATGTCGCTTAAAAAAGCAAAGGGGCCATGCTTGCCTTGTCTGCCAGTCAAGAAAGGGTTATGAGGAGGAGAACAGATCTGGAGTTCAGAGAGACGAGAAGCGGTGAGTGGCCTCACACAAACCCTGTGCTTAGCTGGAGGGTAAAGAAAAGCCACAGACTGTCCCCGTCCTCCTTCAGAGTTGTGACAGCTGGAGGAGAACCAAGGTGGGATGGCTGGGGAACACAGTCCCTCTGTCCCTTGCCACCTTCTTTCACAAACTTCCCACAGACCTTGGCTTTCCACACAGAGGGCCATCACTGCAGGCTACACTTTTCAACGGGTCGTAAAATTCCATCTTGAGATGCAATCATGCAGAGTGTGGGTGTGAAGGAAAGAGAGGAGGAGATGAGAGGTTAGGACAAAGATGAAGAAAGTACACTTCTTCAATGAACATTTCAAAATCCTACCAAATGCTTGAAGCCAGATTTGTGTGTACGTGCACTTCAGCTAATGAATCTAGCAGTGGTTAAAGTATTTGTCACAGAGAAAACCCAGGAGAGGGGGATGCTGGGGAAAAAAAGGGGAAAAAACCCAACAGATGTTTTGTCATATTTGTTGTTTGGTCAAGTAATCGAGAGGAAACTGAAGCAAAACGCTGATGTAGGAACTAGTAGGAGAGTGAGCCATAGCTAGCTTGACCCTCACAAAAAAATAATCTTAGAAGGGTAACAGGAGAAAAAAAGGGAAATAAATATGCACCAGTATAATCCATAGATGCTAACTTTTAGGGCTCTGGCTAAGTTTGAATTTATTTCTACTGCCCAGTCCAGTTAATCAATTATCATTGGTAGTGACTGACAGCTTAGAAAATCCCTGCCTTTGCAGCTGTGTGTGTCAAGTATGGAGCCTCTCTTCTTGCAAGAGAAATACAAAAAGAAACAAAATCTCTACTCTGAATGAAGGGCAAAAGGGCATGTAGGGTTATAAAAATTACAGCATCACAAAGCTGGAGCAAACCAGTTTCTCCAAATTGACCCTGGGCATTCCCTGTTAATGGGGATTTTATTTCCAATATTCAAGAGTATTCACCTGGTTATAACTCATCTTTCATAAAGGACCTCATCAACAACTTCACTGCTTCTAGTTAACTTCCCCCTATATCAAGTCTGACACTTCTTTCACCATCCTGCAATTGCTTGACCATTACCATGCATGCTTTACTAACAAGATACCTTCCAATACCTCAATTTTTCTTTCTGTGAGCAAGCTGATTTCTCTTGAGCCATGAATACTCCATGATTACTTTTTTTTTACAGAACTTTTTGCAGGATTCAAATGGACTGTGGAACAAGAGTCCAAAAAGTTGCACGATTTCAGTGCCCTTTGTTGCTTGTTAGCATCCTGTTGATGTGCATCTTTATAAATTGCAAATGAAAAGGCCGAAAGGAGAGAGAAATCATAGTGCAAAATAAAATATACACAAATACACAAGTGTAAGTGCAAGAGTAAGTATTGGTGCCTTTCACTAAGTGTTTAAATATGAAAAACTAACTAACATAGATACACAGCTTTTCCCAGTTTCCTGAAAAACAATAACAAAGGTATTTCAGCATCTGCTTTGCTTTCTTCAGTCCAACAATAACTGGATTTAAATACCGCTAGGCAGAGAAAAAACATCCCTTGCTTTACATTATGCGTTTCCACTTGTCTTTATCGTTTCCTTTTTTCCCCATCTTTTTAAGCAAGCCACTAGGTGACAAGGCAGCAATGTTTCGATACAAATAGACACATAAGCCATTCCTCAGGGTCTCCTCACAGGGGAAAAAAGCTGCCTTGCAGAAGTTTCCTTCTTCCACTGGAGCTTTCCCTCGCATGCAGCAGCCTCTCAGCCCTAGAGGGCACCCGTTGAACGCAGCTCCGGGGCACGAAGCGGCTGCAGGATCGATCCCTTTTAATCAGCTTCTCCCTTCTGTCTCTAACTGCATGTCCAGGCAAACCCACCGTAACTGAAACGGTTTGGGTCATTCCAGTTGTTTTTTTTCCCAGCTCCTCATGTATGCATACCCAGATAGCTTCCATAAAGTACCCCCTCCCTCACCCTGCCAAATTTAGGGGGCAGCCATTTGCACCTCTTCCAACAGGTACTCCAAAGCCCCTTACCTTATGATGACAAACATGACCAGAGAGTTTCCCACCAAACCGACAACGAAGACCACGGAGTAGACAGCAGTGATGATGATGGGGATGGCAGGGGAGATGCTGGTGTGGTTGTGCTGGGCATCCCCGAAGGCCCCAGTAGCATTGCTGTCATAGTCTGCCCAGCCCAGGAGCCAGCTGCTGCTGGTGCTGGGGGGACGACAGGGCCCTGGGGAGCAGGTGGAGCCCAGCTCTTCCCGGAAAATCTGCACCGGAGCACCCATAGGGGCAGGAGGGAGACCGGGAGCAGAATGCAGATGGCAGGAGGTGAGTACCCTGGAGGGAGGGAAGAGAGGGAAAGAAACAGAAGTGCTATCACAGTCACCAGACATTAAGACCTCTCAAACTTGTGTGTTAAGGGGAGCTCTACTGGGATGGGAACTGTAATTTGCCAAACAGAGATTTGAGCAAGCCACATTCGTATTAAATAATTACAAGTTTTACGTCTGCTGTGTAATGGGCAAGTGCTGCTCCCCAAGGTGCACAGGCAAAGTTTTCCTCCACTTTCAGAGGTTACACAGAGAAACAAATCAGATGGGAAACAGCTCAGATCCACCCACACACTTTAACCCTGTCTTTCCCATCCTCCATATTTTAAGTCAAACTGTATCCTAATGACAGGGACTCCTTACTGCCTAAGCTCTGATATAAAGGGAGGGAGAGAGAAACCCACCACCTCTCTGCACATCTGCTTTGACATTCTGCCCTGAGTTATTTTTTTCCTGATCCCATACCTGCTTTCAAAGAAGAGACACAATAATGACACAAAATACCTCTTTCAGTCCAGGAAAAGGAGCGGAGTCCTCAAACAGATGCTCTTTGCGGGAAAGGAAAAAATAAAGCAGCTCCACTTGGCTCCTGGAAGTATTACTGACCTTCTAGGACTTTGGAACCTGAGGCACCTGCACCTTCAGAGAGGCGTGCTGGCAGAAGAGCAGATTCCCGGGCATGAGCTGCAACGTGGTAGTAGCAGTTGCTGCTGTTCCAGCTCCCACCACTCCTCCTTTTCCCTCTCAGGCTCCCTCTGCCTCCCTCTCGCTCTGCCAGGGCTCCAGCAGCACTCTGCACTGATGCACACGTTCTCCTCTGTCTCTGTCCCTGCAGCTCAGAAGCTCACATGACTTCTGTCTAAACACTGAGAGGCAGATAAATTAAAAGAAAGACAAGAAATAAGTTCTGCAATGAATGAAAGCTTATTTTTAATACACTTTTCCAAGTTGCCTTTCCCTGTTCCCCCTGTAGTCACAGGCCTGAAGCAATGATCCTCTCGGCCTTACTGAATCCCATAGGCTTTTACACACTAGTAGATGCTGAATAAAACAGGAATTTTCGGTTTAGATGCCGATGCCTTGCCTGGTCCATCAGCTCTTTAATGTCTCAGTTCCACAATTGTGAATCCAAATCACTTCTTGCTGGGTGGCTGTGCCCCTGTTCATTTGCACCTGCAAGTTGGAGGAAATTCAGAAGCTGGCTCTGGTAAAGCAGACAAACACACCCTGATAACTGTTCTTAGTTTATTCAAGCTCTCCCACACCATGTGAGAAGCCAAGAATTCCCTTTAGCACTGCCGAAGCTTCACTCTCCCTCGACTACAGCTGCAGCCAGGGATGGAGAGATGGTGTGTGCAGAAACTGCATCCCTCAGCTTATCCCTAATATACTCCATCAAGCAGGGGTTGTTAAGGTGTTAATCTTCATTCAGGATATCTCTTAATTTGCACACAGACCTTGAGATGCCCACCAAGAATCCCTCTAAATGGCAAATTGGGAGAGGAATTTCTACTTCTAAAACTTCTTTTTCTTTTTTCTAAACCTACAATCAAGACAGGAAATTATGTCAGCTGTAGAGTCAAAAGTCATGTAGGAAGTTTAAAAGGTACAGAATCCCCTCTCATAGGGACAGAGGCTTCTGCAAACATGATGATGGCTTTGGCTGCAGTCACTACTTTCTCCAGATCATCAGCATCTGCTCGCTATCATCTGTACAGAGCTGTCTAAAAGTTTCACCCTTAACGAAGATGGATAAAAATGCAAAATAGGAAATGTAAGAAAAACACCTCTGACCTAAACGTATTTTAAAGAAGGAACACAGATGTGAGGTAAAACATCTTTTTGGAAGATAAAGTGAGATACTAGGATAAAATGTAGCCCAATCCTGGTTTTATGCCTTGCAATCCATGGGCTCTTGCAGACGTACTGAAGGGAATTCCTACTACCACCTCTTCTCATGCATGGTTTTACTTGTAATTTTCAAATTCTTGTTAACATTTTCTCTGGACATCCCCACATTCTGTCTTAAAGATAGTAGTATTTTAGCACTCATTGATAATTTATGTCTTATGAGCAATCATTTTGTCACTATGCAATTGATACAAGTGGGTCAGAAACTTCTGTATGGGGAAGAAAAACCTATTATCACGCTCCATAAATATAAGGCACAGGTGATGTAAAAAACTCTGTGAGTTTAATAGCAGGCTCAAAGCTTTTTCAAGCACCAGTGGTTGGGCAGTGAGCTACTCTTTCTTTAGCTAAATTCCATGCTGAAACTCTACAGTGATCTTAGAGTTAGCACAAAAAAAGTGCTCACAGCTACAGTCACTGACCCTTAATAGAATGTACATTGCAACTACGTGGGACTGGAATGAGGTGCAGTTTGATCACAACACTGCAAATCATAGGGTGAGCCAGAGGCAACAGTTAAGTTGCCTGGTGCTTTCTGCCTGTGTGAGCTTCATGTTGGAGGCTCAGCTCTGGCTCTTAGTTGCTGTAGGCCTTTTACAACTCAGTGGAAAGCAAGCACTTTCCTAGAGAAATGCCTTTTCTTCTGACAGCCAAGTCAGATTCCTATAAACTGTTAAAAATAATCTTTTCATGTGTTCACTTTCTTGATGAAAACTCTAATATCTGGATTATCAGCAGTAACTGGTCTCATTGCAGGTACTGGAAACACCTGCAATGATACTGAAACTAAAAACAAGGGCAGAGGGAGACCCACTCTCTGTCACCATCTTCCTTTCCTTCAACACATAACTGCTCAGTGTTTCTGTGCCCTTCCCAGTAGTCCTGTGGAAAGGGACAGGAGTCTCCTGAAGTCATGAGGGAAGGATCTGCAGGTGACTTAACCCAAATGGTTCACATGCTCATGCCAAAAGTGTCTGTTCCTTCTGAGGGCTCCCATTAGACAAAAGGCCCTGTTCTTTTGCGGGAAAGCAAGGACAGATTCAGGGAAGAAAGACAGCATAAAAGCACAATGTCACTGTACAGATGTAACTTCCCTCCAGCACTATTGTTACAAACATGTGGCTCAAATGTCCTCAGGATTCTTTTCACTATAGTACTGTAGAACCAGTGTTCACCTCATTGGACTTTGGGAAACACAACAGAAATCATCTGTAGTTTTTTTAATTAAAAATACAGACCCATGTAGCAAATCTATACTGAGGGAACATTATTTAAGTTGTGAATTCCAGCCCTCAAAAGTACAAATGTTACCACATACAGCCATTCAATATCTAGGCACTACAATACATGTGCATGTAAACAGCCTTTGGGTTTTTTCCCAGGCTCTCTGCCTCATTCCTAGATCAGCTACACGATCCTGCTACATTTAAATGGAAGGACATCTATAAATTTGGAATTTTGTACCTGTAAAGTGTTTTCTTTTTCAATCCTAGTGAAATTCTTTGAATGAATAAGGAACATGGGGGGTGGGAAATATGTGATGTTTAGCAATGGCAGGTTGAAAGGCTTCAGCATTGTCTTTTTTATTACCAAAAGCTAAAGTAAAAAGGTGCCCCCATCAGCACACTGCTTCAAAATCGTAATAACGTGGTGGGGCATTAATTCAGCCCTGACTCAGAGGTAAGAATGAACCTCACTGAATCATCGGCACGACTCGGTGCAGCACCCGCTCACCACGCCGCGGCACAGGCCCAGCTCCAGCACTCCGGCACATGCGGGTTTTGGGTGAAAGCTGCTTAGCTGCCAACATCGTTTCCCAGAAGACCATAACATTTTTAGGTTTAAGGTAAATGTGTAGCACAGGGTGGTCCTTGAAGTTCAGCCATGAATTGTAACACTGCATACTTTGATACAGGATCATTTGTAGAGGTCATTTTATTCTAGAGGCTGGGAGGAAGGCCAGGTGGGTTTAGTGGCTCACAGTATCTAAAAATGCATTTTTAGTTCATAATTAACTACCTGATTGACCAAAGGCTACAATACTAGTGAACCTAAGTAAAGACAGGAGATGCTGAAACACTTTCTGGTGGCTCCAGTTGCCAGGGAAACAAAGTTCTCCTGTCTCTCTGCATCCAGAAATGTTAGCTCTCTGTGTGAATGCAGCTCTGGGGAAATGATGTATTTTATCCTCATCAAACACCAGCAAGGGAGAGAAAGGGAGAAAAGAAGTGCAGGAAAGGATACATGATACTTCCTGAACAGTTTTTGTACACTTATTTTGATCATAGCAGACTAAACATTCAGCGTAAGACTTGTGATTTGTTTTTTGCTGGTAGATGGTAGAAGTTTATGATACATTTTAAAATAAACTACTAGTATGGATCTCCATTGTCACCTTCAGAAACCAACCCAATGAAACCCTGAGCACCAGGACAGCCTCTGTGGCCTGTCCCAAGATATGTGCACCTTCCACAGGAAATCCTTTGGAGGGGTATGGAGAGACCAGCCACGTGCAAACTGCCAACTGCAGGGAGGTACTTGGCAGATGTTGAGAGTTTTCTGACCCTAATACTCTAAAAAAGAGAGGTGGTGTACAGATAAGAGCTAACCAGCAGCAAGCAGGTCAGTGGCTGGGATTAAGTAGTTCAGCGGGTCAAAACAAGAGGCCATCTGCTCTGCTCAGCTGTTGCCCTGCCTCTCCCTGGCAGCACTGAGAACCTACCAAGGTCCTCAGCTGGAAGCTCTATAACTTCCCACTTTTCTGGAGCAGGCTTCAGCTGTGACTCTAGAGGAGACATGAGGATCCTGAGAGTGGCTGAACATGAGCTAAAGAACAACTTTCAGTGCTTCTCTTTTAGAGAAAAGATTCTAGTATTCTTCAGATACCTGTAGAATAGACACAGGTATCTGGTTTACAGACCAGCTCATCTAATACAGATTTATTACTTTTCCTGAACTAATCAAATAAATAAATAAATATCAATTAAGTCTAGTTACTATTTACAAATAGTGGAAGCACAGTTCTGCTGGTAGCTGGCACACTA